GAGGAGGGGAGAAAGGAGTAGGAGCAGTGGTCACCCATTTGTGATGCTGGCAAACAAAGAGGCTGATTATTTGGAAGCCAGAGGCTGGCTATTATTCACTCAGACTTCTAACGTTTATGATTGCTTCACCTTAGTTAAACTTGCATCCCACGGTTTCAGTGCAACATGTGAATTTAGACACAACATAACCAATTACAGTAGGTTTCATCAATACAGATATTTTAGGTTCTTGCCAATTGCTATACCGGTGTTAGATCTTGTGAGACAGCCGGTGGCTAATTATATACAGGATCATATTGTTGTTGGCAAAAGGCAAAAGATGGCCTACGTCATCTCACATGTGGACAGCTTTTATAAAAATTGACTGTTCTTAGACTTGAAATAGTCGATGAACAGCCTTGCAATTGTTGTCTTTCTTGTTTGAATTCATTTTTTTTTGAATTTTGTATTGGATATGGGTTGTGATGTAATTCCAGTAATGTTCAACATGTGCAATTATTTACCATTACAATGATTTCAAACAGGATATGCTGGTTTGACTGCGGCAAAACATTCCACTTTTTAATGATTTTCTTACCTTCTTCTTTGAACTTTTATTGTTGAGTTGTTGCAGAAGCTCCATTCATGGTTTCAACTACCTGATGTTAACTGGGAGCTGGCAACAATCATTTCGAAATCTGGAAATGAAGTTCTCATATCATTGTCTGAAGGAAAGGTGAGTGCAGTTTGCTAAGATTCTTTCATCTTTTTTGCTCGCAAATCTTTATGATAAAAGAAACAAATTGTTTCGACAGTTCTCTTGTTCAGTCCTTTTACAACAACAATATACCCAGTATAATCCCACAGGGTGGGGTTTGGGGAGGGTAGTGTGTACGCAGACCTTACCCTTACCTGGAGAGGTAGAGAGGCTGTTTCCGATTGACCCTCGGCTCAAGAAAAGGTGGAAAGGAAGAAAAGGGAAGAAGAAGAAGAAGAAAGAGGGGGAGAAAGAAAGAAGAGGGAGACAAAAGACGATAAGGAAAAAGAGGAGAAAAAGTAGCATCAAATAGTAACAACCAAGGACCAACAATTTCCAGCAAAAGGGAGGAAAAGTAGCATCAAATAGTAACAATAAGGGAGCAACAATTTCCAGTCGCAATTTTAAAAAACAATGGACGTGGTTGCTAAGTACCAGATATAATAACAAACTAGAAGGAAGTAACTTTCAACCAACAACTAGAATATTACTAGTACTACTGGTAAACCTAGGAGAAACTTACAACTACCTGTCAACTCACCACCTTAATCCTCGACCTCCACACCTTTCTATCGCTAGTCATGTCTTCGGTTAGGTGAAGCACCGACATGTCTTGCCTAATCACCTCTCCCCAATACTTCTTTGGCCTACCCCTGCCCTTCCTCAAGCCCGCCATGGTCAACCTCTCACACCTCCTGACCGGGACATCTATGTCTCTCCTCCTCACATGCCCAAACCATCGCAACCTTTATTCCCTCAACTTGGCTTCCACGGATGCTACTCCCACCTTGTCCCTAATAACTTCATTCCTAATCTTGTCTTTCCTAGTATGTCCACACATCCATCTCAACATCCTCATTTCAGCTACGCTCATCTTCTGGACATGAGACTTCTTGACGGGCCAACACTCAGCTCTATACAACATAGCTGGTCTAACCACCACCCTATAGAATTTGCCCTTAAGTTTAGCGGCACATTCTTATCGCATAAAACCCCCGAAGCTAGCCTCTGTCTCATCCAACCTGCTCCAATGAGGTGAGTAACATCCTCGTCAATCTCCCCATTGCCTTGGATTATAGACCCAAGATACTTGAAACTATCTCTTGTGGGAATGACTTGAGTATCAATCTTTACTTCCACTTCTTCTTCATGCCTCCCATCACTGAACTTGCACTCCAAGTATTCAGTTTTCGACCTACTCAACTTGAAACCTTTGGACTCCAGCGTCCGTCTCCAAACTTCCAACCTAGCGTTAACACCCCTTCGCGTCTCGTCAATCAGTACTATGTCATCTGCAAATAACATACACCATGACACCCTCCCTTGTATGTGTCGTGATTGTTCAGTCCTTTAAAAAAGTTGAAAAGAATGGATGCCTTAGAAAACAACTAAGTTGCTCCGACGGCAGTTTAGGTGCCGCACCCGTGTCGACACGACACTAGTATGGGTGTGGGTATGGGATTCGTACTGGATCTGGTCAAACAATTTTGAGTACTTTGACCGCGACAGACGGAAAAATTTGAGACGAGATACAATTTGATTCCCGAAATCAGAACCAAAACTAGGGTAAATTTGAAGAAAATAGCATGCCTTATTTAGGAAATTATTCCTTTACTTATCTATAACTTGAGAATAAAAAAGAAACCCACACTTTACAAGCTATACGTAAGTATTCCACAAAATTTCTCGTAATTTAGAGATATTTTTATATTTTTATTTTTTTGTATTATTTTTACCCGATCTCCGCACCTGTATCCGTACTAGGATCTGTATCCCCGAGTCTTAGAATTTACATCTCGAAGGATCCGACCTCTAGATCCGTACCCGTGTCGGACACCCGCACCCGTGTCTGAGCAACTTAGGAAAACAAAAAGAAGTATGTTAACTTATTTCTATATCACCTATCTGTCAGCACTCATTCTCATTTCCTCATTTCCTGTGTGCACCTTACCCTTGCCCTGGTTCAACCTGTATCACCATTCTTCTCCCTCCCCAGATTCCTAGTCCCTTCCACTCTTCTTCCTAACCCAAGGGCTCTATATCTTACCTGTCTAACTCTCTTGAGGTTCTTGTTCTAAATTTGTTTCACAAACACATCTCATTTTTGTTAAAATAATAAGGCTATTCTGGTTGGCTTTTCATGCTTACTGAGGGTTCAAGTTTATGGTTTAATCTCACGTCTTGTTTTCTGGTCAATGCAGGTCTTAAAAGTTAAAGCTGACGATTTATTACCTGCGAATCCTGATATTCTTGATGGTGTGGATGATCTCATGCAATTGAGTTATTTAAATGAGCCATCAGTGTTGTACAATCTTCAGTACAGATACAATAGAGATATGATTTATGTATGCACAAATCTCCCTAATTTGAATTGTAGTTAGCTTTTTCTCGTATTCTTATGCCTTTTTATTTCTTCTCCTCTTCGCCTCTTCTAGACGAAAGCTGGTCCAGTTCTTGTTGCCGTGAATCCTTTTAAGAAAGTCTCGTTGTATGGCAATGAGTACATTGAAGCATATAAACGTAAATCCATTGAGAGCCCACATGTATATGCCATCACGGATATGGCAATAAGAGAAATGGTTCGAGGTACTTATGTTATCCAGCAATAATGATTAAGGCCAAATATCATTCCTGGCAATCATGATAAATCTTACATAATTTTCTTTTCCTGCAGATGAAGTGAATCAGTCTATCATTATAAGGTCAGCACGTTAAATGCTTTTGAGTTTCACTTGTTTGCTGTCTTCTAATATTTGAATCCACTTTTATTCTCATATCTTCAGAGCTGATTCTTCTTTCCATTTTTGGTTACTCTGTACTTCGTCAAAATGAATGCACTAC